ATGCGGACTTGAAACCGGGAACCATGTTCAAGAGCAAGGATGGTGTGTTACGTGCTTTCACAGCCGTCGCTGTGTTCCATGAGATGGATGCAACCACTATGTGAGTGCCTTACCTCGGTGCATGCGTATGCGCCCACGTCCTGTGTTTGTACGTGCTTGCATGCAAGCAAGGAGAAGGAAGCACGCGCGTCCACTCACTCACAAACACATACTCTCTCGCTCTGTCTGCCTGTCTCACACACTCTCTATCACTCGCACTCACAAACACATACACTCATACACACACACTCCACACACTCTCGTACACACACACTCCCCCTGTCTCTCTGTCTATCACGCATTTTCGTGCACCCACATACATCCACATACACACTACATCCACACACGGATCAACACGGTTGGTTGCAAGGCAAGGGGGTTGAGGTGCCTACAGCAAGCACGGCAGCAGATGCCTCTCGGCGGTGTGAGCAGCAACAATCCCACGAGCAGACCCAAGGACAGCAGCGCTGACGTCGTGGGCACAACTCCGACAGCAGGGACTTGACGTGCGCATTGTCGCGTATCCCATGGGTCTGCACGAGCTGTGCACCATACTTGCGCATCACGATGGTGTGGTAGACATCAAGTGTCTCCCACAAGCAGACGTCGTCCTTGCTCGGTGAGGCAATGTTTTTGTGTGCTTGCGAATGTGTGTGCGTGTGTGTGTGCGCGCGTGTGCGTGTGTGTGTGTGTGTGAGTCTTGCGTGCGTGTTGTATGCGTGTGCGTGCGTGTTGTATGCGTGTGCGTGCGTTTTGTGTGCGTGTGCGTGTGTGTGCGTGTTTGTGTGTGGTTGTGTGTGTGTGTGCGTGCGCGCGTGTGTGTGACTGGATAACCCTTTAGCCCTTTGACCCTATTCATAATGTGAGCGGACGCAGCACATCCTTACATGTACAGTCACTTGTGTTCTCACGCACAGGTTCAGGGGTCATGAGGATGTGGAACTTGTACTTGTGGACATTGATGGCTGTTGCTCCATTAGCTACATTTCGTGTACAGATCCTTTGCGACACTCGGCAAGGCCACAGGACTGCTAGGAGCAGGATTCTGTTGGCGTGGCATGCGATGAACGCAGCACCAGACCTTGTTCAGGTACGCACTGTATGCTTCCATGTATGTGTGTGTGTGTGTGTTGCGTGTGTGTGTGATGGCTCACGCAAGTGTCTTCGCTAGCGACCGCATCGTTGTCCATCTCGCGCCACTGTGCATCCCTTCCCCTCACCGTCGCATCATTCCATCATTGTCTATTGTCACATCCACAACAGATGAAGAAGGGTGCACAAGATCTTGGTCTGCTGTGGGATGAGCATGTCTGTCACCCGTCATATCCACGCGTTTGTGGCTGAGTGCTGACGGCGTGTGCGTCACAGCTTCTTTGACGAGCATGACCAGCATCGTGTCGCAGTACAAGGAGAGGTTCCGAACCTGCGCAGCTGCAAGCAAGCTGCCAATCTCAGCAACCACCACCAACCTCACGCCCCTGCCGTCCATTAGTGGCTGTCTACGCTGCAGCGTTGATGTTGGAACGCTGACCAGACCGTGTTTCGGGTGTTGTGGATCTCCGTGGACCATCGCGGACGCCTCTCCTCCAACTAGCCAACTTCACTGACGCCATCTTTTGCGATGAACGAATTGACGCTTGTTTTGTGCGCGGAGGACATCGTGCTCTCACAACACATCTCCGTGCTTCGATTTGACGGCAAACTTGGTCCGGATGCCAGTTGTGAGGATTGGAAGTGGCACGAGGAGCGAGCTGTCCCAACTCTCTCAGCTCTATGTCATGGAACGTCTGCGTGCTCTGCGTGCTCTTGTGTGGAGCACCCACAACATCCGGACTTCTGGACAACCCTCTCTGAACGCTTCAACAGAGTCAAGATCCAAGAAACCCCACTGAGCACATCGCCAATCGTCCGTTTTCACCAAAACACCACCCACCCACTCTCCCACCATCAGTCATGATACGAGGTCTGCTGGCGGTCTTTGTGGTGGGAGCGCTGTGTCGCGTGTGCCCAGGGAACGTGGTGCTGGAGGAGGACGGCGCGGGCGCGTTTCACATCAACACGAGCGATCCTCACCAGCAGCCAGTGTTTGTGAACGGAATGGATGTGCAACAGATGTACACCAGGCTGCAGGAGCAGCAGAAGCTCATTGAAGTTCAGCAGGACATGCTTGGAGCCCAAAACTTGGCGATTCAAACACTGGGCAACACCCTCCACGTCTTCCGTTCCGCGTCCTGCCCAGCGTCTGCAAGGAGCACCATTTCCGCTGGTTCTGGAGACTACAAATGGAATGGGGGCGTCTTGGCCCCGAATGGCCACATTTACGCCATCCCTGCCGCTGCCACGGCGATCCTCATCATCGACCCAAACTCCAACACTGCTGACAGAACCTCAATTACTCACAGTGGTATGGAGGGGCGCTTGCCCACACTGACCTCATTTACTTCTTGCCGAATGGAAAGCGCCCTGTGCTCATTATTGATCCAGCGACCAACACGGTCGACTTGACAACGATCCCAGACGTAGGTGTTGGCGGGTCCTACAATTCTGCACTGCGCTTGGACAACAACCTCATCTACGGCATCCCGAGGAGTGCTCCTGCCGTGCTGATCATTGATCCAAGCACCAACACTGTTGACACAACGAGCATCGCTGGAATAAGTGGTGGCACGTGGGAAGGGGCGGCCCAGGCTGGCAACGGGCTCATCTTTTCTGTCCCCTACAGCTCAAAGTCTGTGCTCATCATTGACCCGAAGTTGCGAACTGCAGACACAACAACCATCACAGGCATTTCTGGTGGGCGCAAGTGGCATGGCACCGCCTTGGGCGGCAACGGGTTCATCCACGGCATTCCTTACGACTCGCGCTCTGTTCTCATCATCAACCCCAACACAAAGACGATTGACACAACCACCATCAGCGGCATTTCGGGTTACCAGAAATGGCATGGAGCCGTGGCAGCGAAGAATGGGTTTGTTGTTGGCATCCCTCGCGACTATTACAAGGCGCTGATCATCGATCCCATCACCAACCGAGCCACACGGCACAGCATCAGCGGACTCCCTGCCGGGGACGCCAGATGGTACGGAGGTGTGCTTGCAGACAACGGTCTGATTTACGGCATCCCATACCGCGTTGGCACGTGTCTCGTGATGGATCCAGGATGCTAAAACTGGCGAAGAGGGGCGCGCGCATGTGTGTGTGTGTGTGTGTGTGTGTGTGTGTGTGTGTGTGTGTGTGCGCGCGCGCGCGCGTGTGTGTGTGTGTGTGTGTGTGTGTGTGTGTGTGTGTGTGTACCTGTTTGAACTCTCATGGTGTGCTCCCTCTCCTTGCCTGCTTACCATGTGTTGCCAACCTTTGTTTACGTGTGTTACCCTGCGTTTCGATCGCTGCGCATGTCATTCCCCCCCCCCTTGTTGTGTCTTGTGTGTTCTGTTGGTCACCTTCACATAGTGTGGCTACCAGTGGAATGTTTACCCTCAATGAACAAACTCAAACACGCGCACAAACACATGAAGGTGTGCTCCATACAGAAGCCTAGAAGCAGTTCTTGTATGTGCACGTGGAAAGGCGCACACCTTCACATGTATGTCATTACCAACACACACCCAACGTGGGGTCGCATCGTCGTCGCGTCCTCGCACGCAACGGATCCTGGAGAGCACTGGTTGGCGTGTCATACACAATGAGCGTCGTGTCTTCAGCACTTGCAGTCAGTTCGCTTGCATGTACTCTCCAGCATCAAAGCACAGGCTCATGTATCCCGCAGCAAAACCGACTGCAACCACGCACGTACTCGTTGCGGTTCGTCTGTCCTGACGCGGCATCGTTCGTGCATTGCCACGCCGCATGCAGTTGCTGTTCCTCCACCATGTTGCCAGCGGCTGCAGTGGCCGGTTGATGCGTCCTGTTCTGGATGCGCTCATCCACATCACGCTGCACGCGGTGCACATCACGCACGTGTAGCCGTACGCCAGTGAATGAGTGTGCTCGTTGCCACGCTTGCACGTCACACAATGCAGTGCAATTGCAGTGGCTGCATGCGTTGTTCTCGTTCACAGGCACGTCCTCACAACCACACCGCACCACACCCACGCCGTGTTCACGCAGTATCCCTCCCGTCCCAGGCGTGCCGCCGCAGGCCGTCTCGTTGCACGGCGGGGCTCTGCCCTGGTCCAACGTACACCACACACGCACAGTTGATGCCACGCTGTCCGGCACCTCCTCAGATTCAGCAAATCGTGATCCAGAACGGATCAAGCGCCATGTGCAGCATCGTTGCCGGATGTTGGCATGTTGCTGTTGCAAAGCGTTGTCACCTGCCAGTCGTACCACAGCTGCTTGTCGACAATCGCGTGGTGCAGGAAGAATAGCGGATCATGCGGCGAATCACGTGGCGAATCATGTGGCGAAGCATGTGGCGAAGAATACGTTGCCGTCCTTCCCACCTGCGCACAAACACGTGCATGCCCTCGTGGAGCAGCTGCAACGTGTGCGAGGATGCCAGCAATACAGCGTCCGCAAACGCCCGCATCGCCTCTGCGCGGCGAAGAGGGGTGAGTGACAGTGCGCTGTGCTGCCGTCTATCGCGGCCACCAACGTTCCACACACTTGCCTGGCGCACAGACAGCGCGTCAATCGTCCAGTCCCAGCTTCGGATAGCCACGTTGCAGTTGCTGCTCTCCTCCCGCAGCGTCAGCACCAAGGTGCGTGTTGGCCAACAGCCACCACATGCTGCTCTGTTCCAGCGTGTGCGTGCAGCATAGATCGTCACGCATGCACGCATCGAGCACGACGTGTATGAGCTCGAGAGAGCTGCTGAGTGAGTTGGTTGTGGATGGTGTTGTCATTACGAAAGCACTCGCACTGAAAGAGGACTGGGGTGGTCGCAGGTAGGTGCACGTACAGCGAACGTGAGATGGCTGCACTGCACAGTTCAGTTGTGTGCACGCTTGTCTGCAAGAAAGCATGGCGACAAGAGAAAGGGCAAGCGAACATGCTGCATGTCGATCTCACAAGACATGGTGGTTGCATCCACTGCCAAGCCAGTGCAGCACGAAGAAAGGTTGCCGTCCATGATGATAACGATGAAGGAAAGGGAAGTGAGGTGTGGCCGTGCACGGAGTGCAGGAAAGAGATGTCGCTACACTGCGCAAGTTGCCTTCACGGTTGTTGCTGCTTGCTGCTGTTCTGGGTGTCAGCATGCGTCCTTGTTTGTGTCACTGGCAGTGGTTATCATCGTTTGGAAGTAAACGATGAGGTGGAAGAAGGTAGCAGCTGCAGCACACATTTGGAATCACGCCGTGGTTCGCTGTCTGTGCGGGTGATGATGATGGGAGTAGCAGGAACTGATGTGGTGTGCAGTGTGGAAGCGACAGTGCTGTTGTTGATCCACAACCAGCCCAAGCCAACGTGCGCGACAGCACAAAGCACAACAAACAAACCCCACTTCATGTTTTCTATTCTGCAGTCTGGCCAACTTGCGTGTGTTGCCAAAAGTTGCAAGGAAGGAAAGTGTTTGCGCAGAAGGAAACAAAGCCAGCTAAAAGTGGGAATCCTTTCCTTGCCTGGTGGATTGTTTTGTTATTCTCTTGTGTGCTTTTTCTTTCTTCCACCTTCCTTGCTTCCATTCCCTTGGTGTTGACATGCCGCGACCTCCTCCTCTCCCAGCTGCTGCTGCTGCTGCTGCTGCTGCTGCTGCTGTTGCTGTTCGCCCTCATCATCGCTGGGCGCTGTTCTCGCAGTTGCCACTGTTGTTCTTGTTGTTCTTGGCAGGCTTGTCGGTCTTGTCGGTGACCCATGTTGACGGCAGCGGCTGCTTGAAGGATGCTGTGAGTGTGTGTGTGTGTCTGTGTGTGTCTGTGTGTGTCTGTGTGTGTCTGTGTCTGTGTGTGTGTGTGTCTGTGTGTGCTTGATGTTGTTGTTGTGTTCTTGTTATCCTCGCGTTTTGCTTCTTTGTCACAACGTGCCCTCTGCTCTGTTCACGGTCGCACTTGCAGCTGCCACTGACTCACACCTCCACACCACCACATCTCCACCTCTCCACATCCGTTTCACAACACCACCATCTTGCAGGACTGCACGTTGTGTGCATAGAGGTGGACACAACATTGAGGCACCTGGAAACAACGCTCAATGAGCTGTTCGCCACGGGACAGTTGCGTCCACGAACCATTTCTTCCACCATGATTGATCTGTCATCAATCCAACGCATGATGAACGCCTTTGGGTGCAACAGCAACGGTGTTGAAGAGAGAAATAGGAGAAATCAACACCCATCAAAGGCAGCCCATCTCAACCACACACGGCATGCACTGCCGTCCTCACGAGCGCACAACCGCTCCCCTCATACACACGCGTGCGACGCGCTGATAGCGACGAACAGCGTGCTGGCCAGTGTACCCTGCGAAGCATCACTGATGGCTCGTGCCCTGGAGCCTTGGAGCTGACGTCAATCGTGTACTGTTCCTCACGGTTTCTCGCCACGAAGCACGTGGGCGAGGAATCGACGTTGGTGAGCACATGACGCGACAGAAGCGTTGAGACAACGACTGTGAGACCTGAAGCTGCAACTGCTGCGCGATGTTCTGATGTTGTGAGTGACCTGAGTCGCGTGGCCTTTATCCACAGCCTCAAACAGATGCATCGGTGTGTGTGTGTGTGTGTGTGTGTGAGAGAGAGAGAGAGAGAGAGAGTGTGTGTGTGTGTGTGTGTGTGTAGGCACGTGTTTGTTGCCACCCACCCATCCACCATCCACTTTACAGGGACTTGAAGAGCGGCAACGTGCTGGTATCATCGTCGCTGCGTGCCAAGATTACGGACTTTGGGTCCATTCGCCAGTGCTTCACGCGTGACAGAAATCAGCAGCAAAGGACACGCCTGTCCTCAAGCCATGCATGATCCCCTGTACAGCCAGCAGGCCGGACTGCAAACGATGCCGAACATGACACTGACGGCAGGGGTGGGCACGCCGCAGTACATGGCGCCAGAGGCACTGACGGGCGACAAGTACAGCTTTTGAGGCAGATGTGTGCAGCTTTGGCGTGCTGATGTGGGAGGTGGGGACGCAGCGACCACCTGATCTGATTGAGCAGGAGAGGGAGAAGGGGAGCGAGTATCGGGGACCGATCCTCGCCACCATCAGCAACCTGATGAAGGATGGGAAGCGGTTGCGATTTGATGATGGTGAAGAAGATGGTGAGTCGAGTTGTGTGTGTGTGTGTGTGTTGTCATGTGTGTGTATGTGTACAGTATGCATGTGTGTGTGTTTGGATTGGTTACTGACGCGTCCTTCTCTTCTCACGACACACACACACACACCTCCGCACAGCCATCCCCGAGTGGTTCCAGTCGCTGACGTACAACCGCATGGCGCAGAACTCGCGTGAGTGACCGTCGTTTGGAGAACTCATGGACCACCACTTTGCTTGATTGTGTGTGCGTGCTTGCTGACTCTTCTTGTGCACGCGTGCGTGGATGTGTCGTCAGCATGCATGTATTGCGGGGTTGGAACGACGCAAAGTGCAAGCAATAAACCAACACCAACGCAAAGACAACCCAACAGAACCCATCAACTTCAAGGCATGTCACATTTCATTCTATGATGGTCGGCAACGTTGTTCTGCACGCGCTGTGCTGCACCTCCTTCTTCAGCGCATACAGCACACCCTGCCACTTCACGTGTAACCACCGCTTGAAAGAAGCGTCGCACATCTATCCCCTTCCTGCTCCTGCTGCGTCAGCCACGCAGCAGTTGCAACTCAATGTCTGCGCAGTCCGACGTGAGCCCAAACAGCAGGCTCAGCACCATGGAAATGACAAGCGGGGCGCGCAGCAGCGAGCACCACCACTGTAGTCGCCGTCAAAGGTGTCCAGGTCAAAGTCCACCAGCAGCACGTTGTTGAACATGAGCAGCAAGGCCGTTGGCCGACAACGTGTCGTCGTTGAGCAGCAGCAACTGGAACGACGTCCACCCGGACAAATTGCTGATGCCGAGGACGAGCAGAGCAGGAAGTGGCGCATGTCGAAGCAGATGGTCAGGATTATGCGCTGGCCGGAACGGGTGCAGGTGGTACCGCAGAGGAACGGAACGTGTGTGCGTGCTGGGAAGGGTTCGTGGTGGGAAGAGTATGTGTTGGGAAGAGTGCGTGCTGGGAAGAGCACGTGCCACGCACCACAAACACCAACACCACATTCGTCGCTTCCAAACAGCCGTGACTGCCGCACCTCCTGCACCATGTCCACAATCAGCCAGCATCAGCATGATCACCACCGACTTGTTTTCACCAACTCCCAGCAGCAGCTGGGCCACGTCCTTGCCACTGATGAGGACGACGGTGATCATGTACCACCTCGCCGCCTCCCACATAAAACTGGCGCTCACGCGAACAATGAAGCTGCCAAACAGCTCTGCGTCGCCCTTGTCCACCAGCGTCATCATTCACAAACCCAGCTGCACGCGCCAAGTGGCACCACGCGCGCCCCAGCGTCCTCAAGCTTGGCCAGCCCACCAGACAACTTCTGCAGCTTGTGCCAACACGCATGGCTGCTCATCTCGCTGATGAATGGCCTGTCTGGCTCAGTGAGACAATCATGCTCGCTGCTGGTGGTTGTACTGCTTGTCGGCGGTGGAGGTCGCAAGCGCAAGCTCGCTTGTAAACGTGCGCACAAGCAGAATGACGTCTGCTACGAGGGTGTGCGTCAGGAACGACGCGCAATGACCAGGGCTTCACTGTCAGGGCTTGTTGCCCTCCGAGGTTGAAGGCCCTGATGGCCTCACACACCTGCTCTGTGCTGCAGTTGAGCTAGGGCACGCTGGTGGTGCTGAAGATGGCACGGAGTGAGGGCGCGTGGCTGGCCTTGTTGGCCGCAATCGACAACAGAGGCAGAGGCGTGTCTGTCTCGGCATCCTGAACGGCATTGCTCACGGTGGCAGGGAACATGCGCACGGCTCGCTGCAGCTTAGCAACGCTGCCCACGTCCATTGAACGAGCGAGGCGATTGGGAGCTCAGGGCACAGCCTCGACGTGGTGGGTGACAAGGACAACAGCACCAGGCATCGTGTCTTGGGTCAATCTAGATGGCCAACAAGGCGGATTGTGATGGCCGTGGTGTTGCCCTTGTTGAAGCTTGTGAGCACACAATACACAGCCGGCACCGCGAAGCTCGGCCATACAGGAGAACGTGCTTGGCGTCGCGTGTTGATGTGGCTGATTCAAAGCTGGCACTGGCCGGCGTGGTGCTGAGTGATGGCTGCCAGCCTCGCGTGCTCCACAGCACAATGACAACACTTGTCATGTTCCACTGCTCCAGGGTGTACGTGGTCAGGACGTGCTCCCCGTTGCGGAGCTGGTGCACACCCCCGCTGTTGCCTCTGATCGATTGCGCTGACCACCAAACGGAGGGCGGCACAGCGGCCACACGGCAGGGGTCGTTGACGTTCCAAACACTTTGCGCCACCGTACCCGGCAGCGAGCACGCGTGCCCTGCTGCAAGAGGGCTGTAGATCAGGGACACGCGCGACGACAAGGAGAAGGAGGAGGTCAGGCTGTACACCGCCCAAAACACAGGCCTCTGGCACAAGCAGGTGCTGGTATCTGCTCGCAAACACACTGATGGTGCTGATCAAACCATGGCCCTCGCCAAAATGATGCCACAGGCGCACAGGAGAAAGTGACGAAGTGGTGGCTGTTGCCATGGATTGGATCTCCGAGACGTGCGCGCTGGTGATTTGGCGGATCGCGTGCACTCCGTCGTTGGAGTCGCTGGAGAGGTGGCCACTGGCCACGACCAGTGGATGGCTGCTTCCGCACAGCCGCGAAGCCACAAACGTCAGCGGAGTCGTTCAAGGATGCAACAGCAGCGCACGCGTTGCCGTGTCCACCACCTGCACACACGGCCCAGATGAACGTTGTAGTGGATGCGGAGCACGGTCGCACGCGACAGGTGCACGGCCAGAAAACACCTCCAGCAAGCAGGTTGTCCTTGATCATCATAACGACGTCCTCGGACTCAATGTTGATGCCGTCGCCAACTATTGCCACTGCCTCGTCCTTTCGCCTGCAGCTCCAACACGCTGCTGCAAACACGTTGTCGATGCCAACCTCTGCCTCCAATGGACCGCGCAGTGCCCTCCTTGTCGCCCGTGAGCATGGCCATGGTCAGGCCGTGCGGGCGCAGCAGGCGCACCACCCTCTTCGCCTCTGGGGCTTGCACATGTCAGCGAGACCAAACGTAGCCTGGGCAGGAGGTTGCCGTCTGCCGAGCACCCAACAACCGTGTAGCCACGCGTCTCGTCGCCTTCGTGCATCGTCTGCCGCTATTTGCCGCTAATGGCGTGGGCATGCCAATTCCACAATGGGCATGCCAAAGGCAATGGGCTTGCTGTCTAAGGTTGCTGAGATGCCCCGACCAGAGACCGTCTGTGAAGTCCGTCGCGGGAGACAGCGCCGCCGTGCACCATAATCGCCTGGCCCAGGGGCATGCTAGCTGTTTGCCTCTGCAGCCGTCACCAGCTTCAACAGGGTGTCCTCCTCCATCCACGTGTCGTCATCACCGAGCACGCGCACGCACGTGACTTGTGGCGATCCAACCGTCAGCGTGCCCGTCTTGTCAAGCACGGCCTGTGAGGAGGGAGAGTTGAGAGAGTGGGTGAGAGTGTGTGTGTGTGTGTGTGTGTGGGGGGGGGCATGGAGGTGTGAGTGTGTGTGTGTGTGTGAGTGTGTGTGTGTGGGGGGCATGGAGGTGTGAGTGTGTGTGTGTGTGTGAGTGTGTGTGTGTGTGTTAGTGTTCTC